TTTTTTTTGCTAAGAAATCACCGCTTTTTCAACAAATGATTTTTGAAATGAGTTAATATCAGCTTCAATCAAGAAGTGTACATGTTCCAATTTAGGCTGTTCAATACTGCGCTCACAGCTGTCTTCACAGTTGAAAGTATTCTAAAAATCTTGGCATTTGGTGTTAGAGTAGGTTGCTTTGATTTCTAGTTAGTTTAAAAGTACAAGGTTACTCAATTACAGAACTACTTCCGAGATGGCTGGAACAGATTTGACTTTGTTACAGTTGTTGGTTCTATCACTGATGCTTTGGTTACTGAGTTTGGGGGTGAGTTCAGGTTTTTGCTACCGCTTCTGTCGTCACTGAAGAGCTGATCATTTAATGTTCTCAATTAGCACACTTCTGCAGGGCACTTTGTCTCGCTGGGATTCCTGCGTCTGTTCCGCGCTGCTAGACTCATCAGACTGCTGCAACAAGGTTACACGATCCGCATACTCCTGTGGACGTTCGTTCAGAGTTTCAAGGTAGGCGATAGCAACCATGTCGGCATTGTGCACTGCTTGAGCACTGCATTTTAAGGCCCTTCCCTACGTCTGCCTCCTGATCGGTATGCTGTTCTTCATCTATGCGATTGTGGGAATGCAGGTCTGCATTTCTTCGCCGATGCGCTTGCATCTTATCGCATCTCGATTCCAGGTGTTTGGGAATATCTGGTTGAATGCAGCTACAGAAATCAACCGCCACAACAACTTTCAGTCGTTCTTCAACTCGGTGATCCTCCTTTTCCGGTGAGTTTTCGTTGTTTCTACCGCAGACCTCGATATCCTTCACCTTATCAGCTGCGCTACTGGAGAAGGCTGGCAGGATATCATGATGGCGTGCGGCGCACAAAAGGAGTGTGCTAGAGCTGGTAGTGACGAAATCAACACCGATAAGGTATGCACTGCACCTAGCTGCCGCTTTACAGTATCTATGCTTTTCATTACCAAATCCGTTCAGGGTCAAACATGTGGCAGCAATGTCAGTTACGCGTATTTCACGTCCTTTGTCTTCCTCTCGTCGTTTCTAATGCTGAATCTTTTCGTTGCCGTCATCATGGATAATTTTGATTACTTGACTAGAGATTCGTCGATCCTTGGTCCGCATCATCTGGACGAGTTCATTCGCGTCTGGGCAGACTACGATCCTGCGGCGACGTGAGTAGCCCATCCTTCTCATAAGATATCGATATCACTGTGATTAAGAGGTCGAATTCATTACACGGACATGTACGACATGCTACGAAATATCACCCCACCTGTCGGATTTGGCCGAAAATGCCCGTACCGGTTAGCTTACAAGCATTTGGTACGCATGAATATGCCGGTAGCAGAGGACGGGACGGTACACTTCACCACGACGCTCTTCGCCCTGATTCGTGAGAGTCTTAGCATCAAAATGAGGCCAGGTAATTCATTGCACAGTTGGTGAATGGTGCTTTTGTTTGTGTGGAAAGCAGTGCTTATAGTCGAGGAAATGGACGAAGCTGACGAAGAGCTGAGACAGACATTAAAGAAAATCTGGCCACTGAAGGCGAAGAAAAACATGATTGATCTAGTTGTGCCACCTAATCATGGTAAATTATCAAACGTGTACATCTCGCAGCAATAACATTCAGAATTCTTCAGAACTTTGCTTCCAAAAGCTCACAGTAGGTAAGATCTATGCAGGACTCCTGATTCTCGAGAATTACAGAGCAAAGAAAAGTGGGACAGAGGTTTGTTTTTTTCTTCTCTTCTCGCTATGTTGAGTATTTAAGAATGCGCC